CTCCAGTTGACATTACACTGAGAGAAAGAGGAAAGAAGATCACTTAAAAGAGGTATGGAAAGGTATTTAGGAGCAAGACAAGTTTTACAACTGAAACAAGACAAGTTCTATAGCCAAAACTTCAGGTTCACAGTATCTGTTACCTACCTGTACGCTCCCTTATAGAGACTGGAGGTCCCTCAAGGTTAGGGGTCTGAACAAAGACGGTAGCATTGTATTCTGTGTCTGGTGAGAGGCCAGTAAAACAATGGCTCGTTTCTGATCCACGTACTGTGATTTCCTGTCCTCTGGAACCTGTCAAAAAAAGCCCAATGGAAAGAAAGTTAGAACCCACTAGTTGCCTTTTAATATGTGTACAAAAAGTGTAGAAATTAGAGACCTCTTGAGAGCAGGTTGGAGCAGATGGGACAGCAGTCTTATTCTTGTTCCACAAAAGCCTTTCTAGACCAAGATTATGTGGTGATTAAGCACGCTGGAGCATTCTGGAGAGTAACATTGCAGTGCACATGTGAAACCCAGGTAACTAGCAGATTCCCACTAATGAAAGTTACCTTGACAATAAGCAGCACTCCCTCTTTGCAGCTGTTTCACCACTCTAGAATAGGTTATGTTCATAGCTTTAAAGCTTAACCAGATGTATCATGGCTTCTGGTAGCTACTTGCCACCATCCCAAATAAGTGGTGCCATCACTGAAATAAGACAACTATGTTTCCAGAAAATGCAAAAAAATAAAATGCACTTACCATCAGCTGGGTTTAACTTCAGTCTGTAGGAAGTTGCTGACCGATGAGGTGACCATCGGATACAGAAAGTATCCCAACCCAGTTTGTAACTTGTTAGGTCAGTGACATTCAAATACACTGTGAACAGAGAAAGAGATAAATTGTTTTCTGGAAAACACTATGTCATGGATGAAGCACATCAAAATGAAAATGATATTAGCAGTGCTGGTCCAGAACTTGACTTATGTTATGTTATGCCCTAGAGATCCCAGCCTAGCTATTTACAAAGGCCCAAAGTCTGATACTCTTCCCATATTGGGTAACAGCCAATTTTATGAGTTTTCACATGAAGTAAGTAGAGTTCTTTATAAAATAAGAAACTTCCAAAAATCAGAATCTGACCCATATATATGGCAGTATGAAAAGAATGTACTGAATCAACAAAACTCAGGATGCTTGATTCATCTTAACTGAAGAAATTTTCAGAAGTTTCTTAACTGAGGCCATAACAAAATCATCTCCTTCTAGAAAGCTGAAGTTTCAGTCACTGGACATTCCTGTGAGGTAAAAGTAGACTAGCAAAAAGCCTAGACCTGTTCAGCATGGTTAGATTCTGTAGTACCCTGGAAACAGTTAAAGACTGACTCTAACTATAGCTGAATAAAATTTTAGGAAGCAGACCAGAAAATTTTATATCATCCAATCATTACTTAAAACTATATTTCTGTTACTGTTCCCAAGCTTAGTGTTTTTAAGATCTACATCATGAACAGATGATAAGTATTTTCCATGAGAGGATATTCAGACTTTCTAAAAATCAGCCTTAAAGATCCTCTCTTAATCAACATTATCTCAAATCAGCATATGTATCTAGCATGACTACAACAGATTTATTTTGACTTACAGGTAGTGCCTTGATCTGTCAAAGGTATGCTCATTCCAGAATCATACTGGGCATAAACATTCACATCATAAGTAGTACTGGGAGACAGATTATGCAAGGTGTAGGAAGTCACTTCTCCCACAAAAACCTCCATGGGCTCATTTGAACCTTGAATTGAAAGGAAGCATTAAGGAAGTACAGACAGAAAGAAAGATTCATGATTAGGTGAGCTACAAAACCATCCACCGTCTTTTACATGTCATTAAGTGTTAATCTCATTTTTTCCTAAAACAAAACATATTAATTTCTTAAATTTTAGTGTATTAGACTGTTGCAAACAAAACATAAATGTAGCTTTATTCGCTATTGTGCAATGTTTCTGATTAATTTAACTTATAGAAAGGTATGCATATTGTTTCACTGTCACATAAAACAAAGGTTCTGAATGACATTAGTACCTAAATACCTGTCCGATACTTATCTCACATACACCAGTTCATATCCTCAGAAGGATAAGAGGTATTACAGAGAGAAAAACCAAGTCTGCTCTAGGACTTTATCTAGTCACTGTATTAAATTTTAACTATATGGTTCAATCTTTGTAGTTGAATGTATGAAACACCGTGTTTGATAGTTTGCACTTCTCATAAAATTCTGATAATAAGACTTAAGCTTCCATCAAAATCAGTAAACAAAGGAAATAAATACATCCTTAAACATAAACATTTCATGATACATAAGATTTCTGTTCCAATCACCCATCAGCCACTCACTGTTCTGAAAGTGGTATACTCAGAATGAACAGGTTTTCTTACCTACAGGTTTGTACACAATTTTATAGCCAAGAACAGGGGATGGTGAAGGATCCCAGGAAACTCTGAATCGTGTGTACCATTCATCAGTTATATACATATTTTGAGGTGGAAGCAGGCCAACTAAAAAGAAAGAAAAACACTCTAATTAGACCAGTGACTGTTTTTCAACCTCTAGAAACTTACATTGTAACTCTGTCAGGTAATAATCACGTCAAAGATGTAATTAACATAATGAAACCTTAACAATGTTGGCGTGCTCAAGGAATATGTGTCTTACATTTAAAAAAAGAATATACAATATTGAAACTAATTACCAGTTCTGCCATTTCCAGTCAGTTGTCCACCATCTCCATCTTCGTACACAGCCACAACAGTAATTTTGTATGGCGTATCTGATTGCAGTTGTTGTAGTATCACATTATTTCTTATCCCAGGAACTGTTGTCTAGAACACAAAAGAAATAGAGGTAAACAAACTCACAATCCTGTAACTGATCAACAATGACAGTAATTAGAACCAAAAATTTGTTTTGACATTTGGTGCAGTTATGTCCACTGTAGATAAAGTCATTCAGGATATCTTAAGGGTTATAGCCTATAAACAATTATTAGTATTTGTTGGTTTAAATTATAAAACACTGTAGTCAGCACAAAAAGATAAATTAAATTGATTCTTCAGTCCCTACCCTCACGTTAGACTGAGATGCTGCCATTCCTTACCAAGATTTCAGTACTATTCCCTCATAGAAAGGAAAAAGTCATGATGACGTGTTTGGAAACAGAAAAAGAAAGGAAGACGCTCCTAAACTGGGGATGGAAGTCAAAGTCATCCACGCTACTCATCAGTTTCATTTCTACCTTTTCATTATCCTCATCTTAAGATATCATTTTCTTGGCAGAAACAAGTTAGTCTGAGAAGGAAGCTCTAAATATTTTGAAATGTAAAAATGTGCCTATTTATGCATCTCTCAATCTCCTCAACTTCCTGGTGCAGCCGTGCAGCATTGCTCCCGTCTAATGAAAAGCAGATATAATCCAAAAAGTGACACTGCTCCATAAAATGGCCATAAAGCACTGAAACTACAGAAAGTAACCTGAGCTATCTATCTCAAAAGCATGTCCCAGTCAACATTTTCCATTATTACTTTATAAAAATCTTCAGGTTTTTTAAGACTTGTTATTTTGATGAAATGTCCAATATTTTCTGCAAAGAAGATACATGGGTTGAAAAACATATGTGTCCTGGTTAACAGGTCCAGTAGGGAATTTTCAACCACTGAATTTTCAGCATGCCCTATACAAAAATACATAAGAAGTAATAGCATTTAAATAGTGCTCTATACATGTTACATTTCGGCTGGTGATGGTCAGCAGGCATTCTGTCATTGACCTCTACAGGATCTGAGCTTGGCTTTGCTATAAACACTGAGAGAATTTTATAAGATTCAGATTAACTTGTGCTATCATTAAGCTGCAGGAAATTAAACATAAACACAATTCATACCAAACCTTACAAAAGTAAGTTAGATGCTGAATCAAAGTTACCATTGCTTTCTTATTAAACTGTCAACTCTCTTCAATTTATAAAATGCAGACTTATGTTTATTCTATATCTTAGCACACTGACTTTATAATCAATAGACTCTGAAGTAGCAGATGGCTATTCACCGTAGCACAGTGTTTGAACCAAATGTCAGGAAGCAGGTTCTGCGCAGAATCTTCTGATTAATGTGTGATCCATATATTTAACATTGTTTTACACACAAGTTGGTTCATTAAACCACATATGTTCTGCAACTTTGTAAAAAAGATTAAAAAATAAAAAAATAAAGAACAAACAAACAAAACTGTTTCATACAAACCACAGAACCATGGCTTCTCAGTTTTGCCAACAACGACCAAAAAACCCATAGAGCATGTAAAGTGTACATGTAGAACCGCTGTCTTTGTTTTTCTGTCATCTAAGGAATCAACTGAGAACATCTCAGTGCTTACTAAGGAATTACAGAACTTACATATTCATCAATAGGGTCTCCCACAGTGGGTGAATAAATGATTCTATACTGCTGGACTGGCCCATCAGCATGGTCCCATTGTACAGAAAGGCTGTTAGTGGTCTCATCAAACACTCTCACATTCCTTGGACCACTGCGAGGCACTAAAGAAAGAAAATACAGAAGGTTGTATGGAGCATGATTCTTGCAGTTCAGTGTCACTCTCACTGATTCAAATGCTGCCCTGAAGCCAAAGCTAAGGACCCCTCCCTGAAACCCTGAATAAACATATACAGGTATATTTAGTCAATGATAATATAGCAGTGCCTGAAGGTCTTAAATAGAAATAGGGTCTTGAGTGGAGGAACTGGAGCAGTATGGAACATCAGAGGGATGCGCAAAGTGAGCATCTACATACATTCTGCTTCTCAGAGTCTTCCAGAGAAGTACAACTAGCCAGTTTTAAATGAATACGGGAATTTAACAGAGAAAGCATAGAAGCAGCAAAAGAGAGGTGACCTATTATTGCCATAGTTTCTTTACACATTGTTTCTATAATGAATTTTAAAGCCAAGCATAAACCAACCAAGATCCCACAAGCTAAGTTGTAACAAGGAGGTTTTGGTGTTTAGGCATCTCCAGCAAAAACCAAACATCTGGGGAGGTTACAGATAGAATTATCATGTAAGACACAGAACATGAAGCACATTTTTTTCTGTTGACAGCAAATTCTACCCATCTTAATGTGCTTTTTTTTTTCCAAAAGACAAATTGCTACTTATCAGCAATCACATTTTAAAAAATAGCTTTTAAATTCTTAAATATTCAAATTAGGCTTGTTTCACAAGCAAAAATTACATTGGTGATTATGCATGTACCACAACTGCCAGACAACATAGCAAAAACTCCCTTCCATGGAGGCCTATAATTGCTTCAGCCGTAACTCAGATGCATTGATCTCAGAGTTGCACTGAATGGCTTACACTACTTGTGATTGTAACCAATTTTATAAATTCTTCACACACCAATTTTGACATATATGTCACAAAGCAAGTACTGACTGCTTCTTACATGTTCTTCCCTGTGCTTGGCTTGGATTTCCTTCTCCATCTGCATATAGAGCTACAACATTTATTGAGTAAGCAGTGTCAGGAGTCAAGCGCTCTAGCATCACATCACGAGTGTTGCCTGGTACCACAATCTAAAACAGAAACAAAAGGCACCTATATAAAAAAGCTTCAGTTTATATCACGTCTTGTTAGAACGAACAATTTGAATGAAATACAAAAAATCTGAGAACATGACCACGCTGCACGTTTTCCAAGAAAAATAATACAAGTTTAAAATAACCAAATAATATTGATAAAAATTCAAGACTAGGTGCAAAAAAAAAAATAACAAATGCATAAGGAGCTCTCATTCTGCAAATGGAATTGATTGTTTTCACATTTTACATGAAAATAGTTCAGAAAAAAAGAAGAAACGTTCAAGAACAGAACTCAAAAAAGTAAATTCTGTCATGGTCTACTGACGCATAAAGAACAGCTACTAATAGACAGGTTCCCACTCATGTGTGAAGTAATATGCAGTTTCACTTTACAGATGCAAATGACTCATTAAAAATTCTTACACTTCCTTACATAAAAACATATTCATCTGTTCCTGTACAATCTGTGTGTACATTTTGTGTGAGTACATTCACAGGCTTAGCTCTAAAACTGTACCTATTCCTATACAAATCCAAGAACTCTTTCTTCATGTCTGGAGGGCGAATTTTTACCCATATCTAGAATTCACTGCTCACCAAGACCTACTTAAACACTAATGATTTGAGGTAAACAGACGGTTTAGTCGTAAAATCACATAAACTTGGTATCTGGTTTCATAAGTAAACATTTCCTAATAAATATTTGTTGTTTCCTTCTCTCTTCTTAGGGGGGAAAAAAAAAAAAGGTTTATTTTAACTCATCTTTACCTGTAATATTATAAAGGATACTCAATCCTCAATACTCAGTTTTAAACAGGAGAGTCTTACTTCTTATTTCTTTTATTTCACCAAATTAAGCATTTATTTACAATGGACTAGATTCCCTTAGACACGGTTTTCAGTAGGGACACTCCTGGGCAGACAGTTGGCCTGAGTTTATTACTGTTGTTCTACATTCATTGAAGGAAGCAATATCTGCCACACATTTTTAAGGAATAGTAAAACAACCTAAATTACTTACAGATTCTGATGGCCTTGTGCCAGACAGTGGAGAGTAATTAATTTTATATTGCTGTACTGGACCTGGAGCAGGTTCCCATCGGACATTCATGCTGTTTGGTGTGGGATTGTAAACTTGAATGTTTCTCGGTGTTCCTCTCTCCACTAGATCATGGATAATTAAAATTAAGTGTTACAAAGTTGCTTACGTAAGTTCTAGTTCTACTTGAATTTATAACAGTGGTCAAAGGAAGCTGAAAGTGCATCAGCCCAAGATGAATACATTACTTTTGTTACCCCAGACTACAAATCTAAGAATCTCAGTGATTAGTCTTTACAAACATCCTGGACAGGCAGCGAAGTACATATGTTTATACTGCAAATTAAAGATATGATCATAACACTTTGTTACTCTATTGTTGATCAGACAGGTTTGAAAAGTAGCCACAAACTACACATTTCAGCTTATGCTGACATTAGGAGCTCAAAATCCCTGGAAAATTTTAAGTACACAGTATGGACATTAGCATAGATTAACACGAATATTTGCCATTTTTTCACCAGTATTGCTACTGGCATTACAATTAAAATTTTACTATTGTGTGGAAGTAAACAGTAAAGTTTGCTGCACAACGTAAGAGCTGAGCTTGCCTGAGGAAAGTAAACTAAAAGCCTCCACCTGAATAAGCAAAGAAAACCGAACATGTTACAGAGCTGCAACCATAACCAAGCAGGTAAACAGAGTTTCTTACATTTACGTTTTAGCTTTGAGGAAAATAAACTTCCACATTTGTTGTAAAATCAATTTCTAATGATCTGAGCCACTCACACAAAAAATCCTAACATTTTCTTGAAAAGGACTATTTTACTTACATGTTCTTCCAGTGTCAGAGACACGTCCACCATCCCCCTCTGGGAAAACTGGAACCACAGTTACAGTGTAAGGTGTGTTGGGTTCAAGAGTCCTCAGGATGACATAGTTTGTGTTTCCTGGTACTGTGGTCTACAAGTTTTTTAAAAAAGGTAGGAGTATGATGTTTATGTAAATATGCAAAAGTTTAAGTTTTTTCGTATCTCCCTCACTCCTCCACCACATCCCATTTCTAGACCGGATCTGATAAAAACTTTACAAAAGGTGAAACTTGAAGTAACAGAGTTCATGGTCTCTTCTGGAATTGTCTTTCAAGAAGGTTCTGTCTTGGACTTAACAAAAATGGCTGTTAAATCCTATGCCTCTCCTACACAGTCCCTTATAGGTATCTTCACTTTTGGGTCCAGATCCTGTTCTACTAATAACAGTAGCAGAATCTGCAGTGATCTCTTTAATGACTACTATTTAGCAGCTCAAAGGCATTAAAAGGCCACTCTCTAAATCAAAAAAATAAACATTACATAACATTACAACATGCTAATGACAAGAAGTAATGAGCAGTTCATGTTAGAAAGTAAAACTCCACAGCATCTAAGAATGTTTATCACCAGTAGCTCTCTAGATGCTCTTGAAACAGTGGCAATTCATGTACTCCTCATTTCACAGGCACATCAAATTGCATAGATGTGGAAAAAGAAACACAAGTGGGAAAGAATAACATTTTCCCAGTCTGCAACAAGGGTTCCCATTTTCAAGATTATTTTAGTTCTTTAGCAATAAAGTAATTTTAGGAGATTAGAATAAGACATCTACGTGGATTTTTCCACTTTCACAAATATCATCCCAGCTGACTGCCCACAGCCACATGACTTCTTAGCACTAAAAATGGGTAGAAATGAGGTCTGCTGACTTTATAGCCTTTTGTACACCCTGAAGTCAGCTTTACATTCACATGCACTTCCCTAAGAATAAACAAACAAAAAATTGTGTGTGGTATTAAATCCCTGTGCTAAGAACTAATCACTGAAGGTCTACCATATAAAATCAAACATCTGTAATACATATGAGAGTAACTAACTTCCATGGAGGTGCTCTACATTTTCTCCAGGGTAGCTATGAACAGAAAAAAAAGCCAGTGAATAGGCAAACAAGACCCTCTTCACTCAGCAGTATTTCTCTCACTAGCACGATGAGGTGCAATTTATCCGAGACAGTTAGTGAGATGCACACAAAGTATTTACCATTTCTTCTGCACCTCCAGCTGTAGGTCCATAAAACACTTTATACTGGCGAGGACTTCCTTCTGCATGATCCCATCGAACGTTCAGAGTACTGGTGGTTGGGTCATAAACTAGCAAGTTCTTCACAGTAGTGAGAGGTTCTGAAACAGATCAATAAGCTGTCAGAAATGTGGAGCCACATTATTTCACCTGTGCTATCAGATCATGCCTATGTAATGCATCATTAGGAAATTTAAAAAACAGGTTTAATAGTTCATGTTAAATGTTATTTGTCTTCATTAATCAGAACACATCAGTCCCATCCAATAGCATAAGGAATGCTAAATATAATAAGAAAATTTCTTTCTGGACACTATTTTAGAATTAGACAATGAGTTCATTAGGATTGTTTTCTTCATTCCTCACCAAACACATTGCTATGTATGACTTTCCATTGCAGGCTCAATAGTAAACTAAGTACAAATGAATTAATAGTTAATTAATTAATTAATTAAAAATAGTGATTTGGGTTTTATGCCTGAAGTGCCTTTGGTAGTAAATTACTCAGTGCTTTCTATAGCAGGATCAAAACAATGCTATCAACATAAAATAGTAGAGTCTCAAAGTGCACACTGTAAAGGTCAGCCTCTGAACTGAAGGTGCTAACAGGAAAGTAGTAAACTTATGCTTAATAGCACACATATGAGAGTCACATGCCTTCAGATGCTTTAAGCTGTTTATTAAATTGTGGCATAAGACAATTAAACAGATTCAAATGAGGAAGAAGTTCCACAGTAGCATTAGGGTTTCTCTCAGCCTTAAAAGCTGGGCATTCAGTCTAAGGTAGTGGTCCAGGGTTTCTCTACAGCCAGTAAACTCAGAGGCTTTCTTATTTTAGATAGTTGAAACTCACCAAAGGACAAATGACAAATACAGATGGGATGAATTTCACCACAAGAAATTTTTCTCAGCTAATTTGAAAAGCAATACATCAATATTGTTTTGCACCTAATAAGAAGATCGCAAGAAGTTACTTACTGGTTCTGCCTCGTCCTGTCATTCGTCCCCCTTCACCGTCTGCATACATTGACGAGACAGTAATAGCATATGGTGTGTCAGGCTGCAGCTTCTGTATCACCACACTGTTCTGCCGCCCTCCAACCATAGTCTGCAGTAAAACAAAAGAAAGAGATTAAAATCCTTTTATGCTGCTCCTTATATGCTTACTGTTAGAGTGAAGAATGTAAGCATTTGATGCAGAGTGGAAAACACTATGATATATTATGTGCTGCAATGTTCTTGTGACTGACACTGACAGTAGACATTGACTAATAATAATATTTACTACATCTTAATTTTAGCAAGTTTAGACAGAGCTAAGTGACACAAAGCCAGTATTCTTTAATATCTCTAGACTTGCCTATAACCACAATTATATATCAACTGTGAGTTCTGTGCCAGCACAGAGATGTTTCTCTGCATTGCCTTTGACTATATCATATTGTAATCAACGTGAGTCTTTTATTCATTTTGACAGACCTTGAATTGGGCTCTTTATGCTCTGCTCTCAGGTAGAATGCAAGCATGCAACAAGTTAAAACACTGCAGATCTCTAATGTACATTTGATACAATATCAACACTGCCTCTGCTCAATTTCAAAAATTTTACAGCGTGATACTTCAGCTTCTAAAACATCTTTGTTAAGAGTCTAAAATTGTTATACAGTTTTCACTTCCATTTTTCTTTCACATATAATCCTGCGATCATAATCTCCACCAAGTAAAAGACTTACAGTGCAATAAGAATAATACTTAGATCTTCAGTGTTTGTGAATCATGAGCTTTTTGGTTTTTAAATGTGTGAAATTACACTTGCTCAAGAGCATCCTTTGTACTTTTAAGACTATCTGCACATTTTCAAAGCCTATTCAGCTAATACGTTTGTCATAACACTTAAAAGCTTCTGATGATGAAGAAGTGATAATGAGCAAGCATTTATACACCTTCACATTTCATAGAAGTGTACTATTTTCATTTACAAGGAAACTTTCTATTTGTACTCAAGTGTATAAAGCTCAGTTCAAAGTATAAATGTTTTTAGCATCCCATCATGGCTGCCTCCATATTTTAGTATCTATTTGCCTTTCAAAATCTGACCCTAAATGATCATGATGGTCTCTGGAGTTTGGTGTGCAGTTTTTGCAGATTTGTCTTCAAATCACCTGTGCTCTTTCTTGGTGCTGAGGCCATTAAATGAAAGACAGAGTAATAAAAAACTTCTAGAAATCCTATTTCAAATATTTCATTGGGGACATTGCTACTGCCTACCCAGCAACTGCAGTTTAATCAAATATCACAGTAACAAAAAAAGCAGACAAGGAATTACTATCATATGACTGAGAATTATTTGCAGACAGACAGTAAAATGCCATGAACAGAGCATGAGTGTTCTGTGTGCTGTCCTCAAAAACAGGTGTCTTCTCCAACTGCCACTGCCAGACTATATCTGGTTGTGAATGATGAAGTCTATTAAGTCTATTCCGTGCACAAATTTCAGCAGAATGCTCATAATTCTTTTTTTACTCCAGTACTAGCAATTAATTACAGATATGAATAAATCTTACTGCCATTCTTTATTCTACTAGTGATTTCTTACTAAACTTGCATTCAACTACTCAATTCATTCAACAGTTCAATTACCTCAACTCAAATGCATGTTGTTCAGAACAGAGTAAAAACGGGTGCATTAAGTATCCAAGTGATTCTAAAGTAAACATTCCTAATATGCTTCCGAGTATGTGTGATTTCCAATTACAGGAACAAGCTAAATGAGTGTGGTTCTCATCTGAGACTGTTCCTCTGAGTCATTTGGCAGTAACCACAACAGCCTCCCACTGCAGAATAGGGCATTTTTAAGTAGCACACATTTCTGATAAACAGGCTGTCTAAATTACCATTCCCAGGCTTGTTGTGTAGGCTGCCAGTAGTCAACAGAGCTCTTGCTGACGATGCAGGGAAAGCTGGCTGATCATACGGTACTGGCTCTCCTCACCGTTACAGCTGCTCCATCATATTAAAAGACACTAAAATACCTTAAACACTTCCCTAGCATATGTTTTGCATGGATTCATTTTTGCAACTGCTACTTCTGGGCGGTTATTCTGTCCCTAGCGTGCTAAGATACAGTCTCAACTGTCCACAGTATGTTCCACAGCAAAGTCCCTCTGATAGCACATGAACCACATTACGAAAACAATGGAAGACTCTGGACTATGGAAGTAGCCATGGTAGTTCATATTATTGATTGTTGTGATAACTATTTATCTGTGACCTGTAGTCTCACGTACTGATTGACTTGTTCCTCAACACATTTTAACTTTGTTCTAGTTATATCTATAGATTATGTGATTTTCAAGAAAACAGGCTGTATGCAAAGTTATTTTTGCTACATAAAGAGCATTCTATCTTGGATTTGACAGGGGAGAAGGAAAAAGGTGGAAATATATACTTATTAACTATAAATACAAATCTTCACCTAAAAGGTGATTAATACATACACTGTTGTGCTTTGAAAATAAATTATTCTAATGGATTACTTTGAAGAACTATAATTTAAAAGCTGAATAACTATAGCAATTCAAAATTAGTTACCGACTGTTCAGGGCTGTCCCCATTGATAGGCTGGTAAATGATCCTGTATCTCTGCACTCGACCACTGGCAGGATCCCACTTCACAGTCAAACTATGTGAAGTTGCATTGTACACCTGAAGGTTTCGTGGGCCACTCTTTGGGGCTGAAAAATGTAATAAAGAAAAGAATAAATATGTAATTCAAGCAAAAAGTAGGGACAAAGACTTCATTCATGCTTTTAGGGCTCCATGAATGTCTGACCAAGAGCAGAATGTATTAAGTACAAGACAACATAACCAGTAATGTTTGTAAAATAATAAACATGTGGTAATCTAGTGTTTAGTATTCTTCCAAATACACAATAATATTTATTAAATGATCTCAGCTTTTTAATGTCAACATTCCTCACAGTTTAGAAAAAGATAGCTCTGAGTTTTCTTTAAAAATACCTTACCTAGAAATTCAGATTCTTACCTTGTGTGGTGATAGGTACCAAGGGTACTAGAAAAAAGTAGAAAGAGTTTTCAGAATTCTTGTATGTGTACACCATCTAATTTAACAACTATTAATAACAACACGCGAAAATGTTTCTTTACTTACATGTTCGTTCACTGCCAATGAGGTCATCGCTTTCTGATTCATCAGGATAGATGGCAGTAACTGAGATATCATATAATGTATCTGGATTCAAATTTTCAAAGACCAAACTATTCTCATCCCCATTTAAGATAGTCTTGTGGAGAAATTAAAAAAAAAATGTTAATAAAACAAAACAAACAGAGATTGGGATACAACTGAGTAACTTTTTGCACGGTAACATCACTACAAGTGGCTGTAACTATGTGTTCAATACATTCCCTCTGAATTCCAATTGAGTACAACAGGAAGGCTTGAGAGTTATAGGCCATTTATTAATTACATTTCTGACTTTAAAAATATACCCTCTGACAGACTGCCCACAAAATTTACAGTGACTACCTATTCTTACCTCCTGTTTTTCTGATCTTCCATAGGGTCCCCAGGTTATTCTATACAGAGAGACATCTGGAGCTCCGTGATCCCAAGTTCCTCTAAAACTATTCGTGGTTACATCTGTGATTCTGAGATTGACTGGTGCTGGCACAGGCTCTATTATGAGAAAAGGAAAAGTATTCCACAAAATGTAACTACAAAATAAATACAATTAAATCAAGGAATTACTTCAGACAAAGAATTTAGAAGATTATGTAGAAGATTCATCTCTCAGTTACCATGCTTCTAATGACTACAATAAAATGCTGTAGTATAACCCAGCCCACCTGCACTAAGCAAATTGTCCTTCATAAGGTCACATCAGCAGGTCATCGCCTGATAAAACAGATTGAGTTCTACTGACCTCAGTAGAGGTCACAACTCACATGCCTACTTACAACAAGTCCTAGCTTTTATATTTTGGAGTTAGAAGGAGTGATTATGAACTCTCACACACAGAGGTCAAGCTCCTGCGTGAGTTTTTCCCAGACCCTAAAAATCTTTATATAAGCTAAATAAGTCATGACTGAATTACATCACTTATTTAGAATGAATTCACAGAGGTTAACTGCAGGTTAAGGAGACAGATTATTATGGCCACAGGAAAGACATGAGTAAATAGGTAAAGCCAGAGAATTAAGCTAAAAATAATTTCTTTGGTAGAGCTTTCCTCTTTTTCTTTATACACACATTCACAGAAAACCACAGCTATAGAAGAAAGGCTAGTACAAAAGCAAGCAAAAAAAAAAAAAAAATCTCACAAACCTTTTTAAACACATCAGGCTACAAAATGAAAAAAGAAGAAAAAAAAAAAAGACAGAGTATGTCCATATTTTTTCTCTTTTTTTTTTTTTCACATCAGAGTGAGGGACAGTGATAAGGTAACATTGCCCATTTCTATGCTAGCTCTTCTGGTTAGCTGTCTTAAATCATAAGCCTAGATCAGGATGAAGGCTTCCCTGATACCAGCTTTCTCCTTTCAGTCTGTCATCTCCCGTGTACGGAGATCGGCTCTTGCCATTTGCGCAACATCACTTCCTTGCCTCTAATTTGTTGAGGCTACTCAAATGCCACCTTCATGATTCTCTAACAGTACAGACTGGTTTAGCATCCCATGGTACAAAAACTCCCTTGGATCAGAAGCAAGATCATGTCTCTCTAATCCTCTAGCATATGCCCCAGCTTCCTACTCACTTTCCTAGATTCCTGTATAGACTTGCTAAACCTTTCCTCTGCCCTCATATTTTCTTACTTATTCTACTCCTACACTCCTCCTTCAGCCTCTAAACACAAATAATTTTGTTTCAGTTGCTGGTCTGTTGCCTCTCTGCAGACTGCAGGCTCAGTGTTTACTGCAGTAAGACACTCAACTAAGACTCCCAGGGATTATTATATTGCAAATAATGCTACAAGTGCAAGTAAAATATTTCTCAGATAAATTAAATTACAGTTCCACCTAAACTCAGTAAAATATTGCAACGCACACAACTTAAATAGAACGTAAGGCAAAAATAACCATAAGAAGGGCTATTAGGAAAACTTACGAGTCACAGCCTCTGCATTTGTCGGTAGGGATTCCCCTTCATCGTATACAGCAACAACTTTAACATTATACAGTGTTTGGGAGGAAAGGTCAGAGAGAGTAGTGCTGGTTTGGAGTCTGTCGATTTCCACCTAAGAATAAAAATAATTACATAAGAATTGTAAATTGCTCTATTTCTGACTTCTGACTCAAATGGCAGAAAGTCCTGTACTGAAAAACAGAAAAAAATTCTGCACCAAATTTTGCCATTTAGCTCTAAATTTACACCTGAATATTGAGTGCTATCTACTAACTCCCTTGCAAAGCATATTGTCTCAGATACTAATACTACTTCTGGATCTTTCACTGCTGCATTTTTTTGGAAATGAGGATGCAGGCTGCATATCCATAAAATTCTTATTCCCTTACAAAAACACATTTAATCTTCCAAGAGCTGATTCATGCCTAGCACTGCAATTATGGAAAGCTTGCACATAAAGACATCTCTAACAATGCTCACACATGTTCCAACAGTGGGTAAAGGGGCTAACATGCCTTTATTCCACAATCCTGTCCTAATTGTAAGCTGTTCTTAGAGCTTGGTAAAGTAACACTTAGGCAGAGAGTAGAAATGGCTATTTATCAAAGCACAGGGAAATTCTCCAGTCAGTTTGAGGATTTTTCCTCTCTGGAGGAGGAGGAAGAGGGGAGTAGACAAAGAAATCAATCTTGTGCTTATTCAGTTTCCAAGAAATCAGCACCCTTTCCTGACTGCAATCACCATGAACTGATGTTCTTTATTCTCAATGGTGAGTTACAATACTACTTTTACTATTATTTTAGTAACATAGCTCCTCAAAATAAAACTGTCTTCTAGTACTTTCAAAAATGTTCCTGTCATTTACCTCCTTTACATCAGGTTCATCAGCTATTTTGTATCTTAGGATGTATTTTCGAACTTTCCCCGGGGCAGGATCCCAAAGGACTTTCATGCTGCTGTGAGTAACATCCTGAATTGTTAAACTCCTGGGTCCAGGCAAAGGTACTGTAAAAATAACGACAGTAGTAAGTTAAAATGCTATTCACGGCAGAGGTATACCTCTCACAGAAGGAATTAAATTCTTTTCATACATTTCATTGAAATGGAGGCAATAACTTTCTGGGAAGTTCACTGCTCTGGCCATTAGATGAAACAGCTTGAGAGCTTACCGTCCCAGCAATGAGCAAAACAGCTATAAACTACAGTAGCTTCACCTTCAAAAATTATGAGCACGATGCTTTTAGAAGTATCAGTGCTTAAGATGATAACTTCTGGTGACAACAGTCACTTTTCATGTACAGTTAAGAGTTTAATATTTTTTAAGAACCTAAGTATAACCATACTGCATGCATCTAGCCCAGAAATATGCCTCTGCCAGTAGGAAATGTTTAAGGAAAGATGTTTAAGGAAAGGCTTAAGAAAGGAAGCCATGTTTAGATCAAGTTTTTTTCTTGGTATGGCATGTTTCCTTGGCATTTTCTATACTTAAGAGAATGCCTGAATTTGGGAACAAGGTTTCTAAGTTAATGCAAGCAAAATTGAGACCTTTTAAAAACACTGTAACCTCAAGATTGTCAAGCCAACGCCCTTCATTACTCAAGGAAAAAACTCTTTTGTTCCTCTTTTAATAGTTGGTCCCTTTTCATTGAAATTACCTTTGAAATTGTATGACTGTTAGAAAATACACAAAACATGGAAAAGATGGTCAACTAAACAAAACTGAATATATAAAAAATGTGGCATGAAATAAAATTAAAGTTAAATGTTGCTGAAGTAATAACAACAAAGCAAAAACATAGATGTCCATACATGTCACTTCCTGGGTGGTGAGTGGGTCACTGGTAATATCACCAAACAATACGTAAGCTGTTAAAGTGTACTCAGTATTGGGGATGAGATCTACCAGCTGAACCTCATTCACTGATGGTCCAACACGCATCTGCACATGAAAAATAACACACTCTGTTTAAAAACTGAAATAGAGCAATGGTAGAAAAGCAAACAATGATTTAACTTCAAGGGAATTTTGTTTGCGAGATTCACAGTATATTTACAGCTTCCTGACTGATGTCATTGTATACAATATCCCAGTAAGTTCACTGCACTTCGAGAAGTACATGCCAGTCTCTTTTGACTATTATGATACAGCAAAAAAAAATCTATTCATTTTTCTTAATTTATTTTTGGTAGAGTACAGGAATTAAAGACAAATTCTCTTACCTCTTTCTCTGTGGCTGGGACTGTGGCATTCACAGGTTCATACGTTAACAAATAACCAGTAGCTCCACTGAGAGGTTCCCATCTCACTCGCATGGAAGTTGATCCAATGTCATAAACATTCAGGTTTCTAACTGAAGAGATTGGCACTGCCAAATAAAAGATACATATTAATTTGTTTCCTTCACCTTCTTCACCTTTCATATTTCACATCACAGGTAGTACCACTGAGAAAATTGCACATGCGTATTAGGGTACATTAAGGGTAGTGGAAAGGTGATCTGCAAGTAGTGGTATTTTAAGTGATGCTTAGTTTAAGAATGATGTAATGGTCATCACATTTTGAATGTGCTACAGATTTGCTACACACAGCTGAAACTATCTCACAAGTCTGCACTGGAACACTTGAATATTCTAAAAAGCAACATTAACTCACATGAATGTTCTAATATGAAACAGAACATGACCGGCTTGGGATATGTACTTATAAAAGGATTTTTTGTACTTTCTTCTTTTTTTCTACGTTTCTCAAATTATTAAATAAACACAAAAAATTACCACAGACTTCATAAAACTCATGTACATACTTTAAGGGTTTATGACAAGCCTAATACGAAACAATCAAAGTAGTGAAATGAACACCTAACAGTCAACACAGTTAAAGAGGCAGGAAAGTCACCCTACGTTGCATTCAGCATAAATATACCTAAAATCAATCATGTAGACAGCTAATAGTAGAAACATAATGGCTAAGTTATGTCTCATAGAAGTGATGTAATTGTGTTGAACTGGCTTTTTGTTAATCTTCTAAAATTAGAATGAATTTCTATAGTATTCTGGCTGCTAGTAGCAGAAATTAATTATCTAGCATAAAAATGAAGGAGTGCATGTTTGTATGTGAACAGATTTCAGGAATTTATAAACTCTGTCTTGTAATTCATGTTGCTCTTGCACAGCCATGCTTTATGAGCGTGGAAAGAGGATGGGACAAACATTTTTTACCACAATGCAGTTTCACTTTGCTAAAGTTTTTCAGCCAAGATCTGAACAACCAGTGTAACACAACATAATTTGGTCATTCAAATTAAAAATTTTGTTTCCTCTAAGAAGAAAGCCCATAGTGCTAGAAGTTCTACTGAACAGTTCCCCATATGCCAAACTGGCTGTTAACATGTTAATAAAGTTCCATTTCTAACTTACAAGTTGTTTCCCTGCCGATTAGAGGTTCACTGCTTTCATCTTCTACCACAGAAAACACGTTAACAACATATTCTGTTTCAGGTTTCAGATCTTTCAGAACTGTCGTTGTTTCCATCCTACTTACATAAAACTAAATAAAAGAGAAGCAATGTTAACCGCTGTACAACAAATGCATTTGTAATCTTATCTCTAAGAAAAAAATCATTTCTTGTGAAACTCTTCAGAAGTCAATGGTATGGAACTAAAAATAAGTATGGTCTTAATCCTCTATGTATTTTGTCTGACAGTATACCATTATTTTTGCAAAGCAAGCTGTAGGAAAACCTCAAACAGATACTTGTTTTCAATAGAGCTAGATATATCTAGCAACACTCACTATGCATCCTGTTTTCACACATGGTTTGCACTTATATATTACTCAGTAACATAAAGAAAGTGTTAGAGATATATGTTACCGCTTTGGAAAAAAACTTTTAAACACCCAGGGTAATCTAGATGGTTACAGCACATGACATTAGCAACACCTTGGAGAACAGAAATGCCAGCAAGCTGTCAAGCTGTAAAGTCAATGTGCACTGGAATGGCTGCTCTAACCCTAATCAAAGGCCAAATACTGAAGTCATGATTTATTAAGATTAAATTCTACATGAATCAAATCTAAGATTTAAAAGTCACATTCAGAGATGGGAAGTTCAGAGCCAGCTACACAAAGGTGCCTAACTCCATTCTCCTAAATACTATTGTGACTAGTTGAAGAGAGTGATAAGCAATTCAGATTGCCTAGAATCAATGGCTGCTGGTTACTGGCTTTCTATCTAGAGAATAACTACAAGATGAGTTTGACCCTGTGCATTAAACAGTTTGGAGGATATGTTTAGGCACAGATTGAAAGTACCATCATACAATGTTAAGCTAAGCACTACATCACAACCTGTATTGCTCACTATCTTTTTTTCTATTAATAAGAAAATGTACTAAGAGGACAGTGATGCTACCCATGAGTACACTCAGAAAATTTCTACTACAGACTTATTTGAACAAATATATGACAATGGAATATAAACAGAAAGGAACTACTAGAATTACCAGTCAACTGTTTTTAAGAAATACATTTTACTCCTGGATTCATGATTTTAAAACAACCAAAGTCATCTTTATGCTCCTACCTTTTCTAAGTTTGTGTATCATTTACCGAGGTATGATATTCTTCCCCTTTGGGAGCTTTTTTCATTTACTGTTATACTATACAAACTTCAGAATGACATTACTGTGATGTGGAAGTCCAAGCTTATTATGGACATTGCCAGAGATGTACAGTACTAACCTGTTGAGGGCTACCTCCAGAGGTAGGGTAATATTCAACTCTGTATCTATCAACACTCTCAGGAGGTGGACTCCATCTCAGTCTGAAAGAACGAGGTGTCACTTCCGAAATAACTAGGTTAGAGGGAGGTGGTAAATCACCTACAAGGGGAAGCAAATTAATTTATCTTATATCATCAGGAATAAAAACATGAGACAAAAAAATTGCTTAGGAAAAAAACAAACAAACCACACTTCAGGTACTTGCTTATGCTTCTGTTTCCTCTGGAATTCTTAAAACAACTGTGTGAAGAGATAGTTCACCATCACACCCTCAAGACCAAACAAGCTCCCTATCATTCCTATTCCACTTTCAACACCAGTGTTTCACTGGAGAGACATCAGCTAACGTTACTGTTTCTCCATGCTCAGCTTTGGTTTTGGGCTGTCGAACATTAATACTTGAAAAGAGCAGGGCTGCTGAAATTTTCCTTATTGGATGAGTGTCATCAAAGAAACTGCCACAATGAGCAAAAAGGTGACACATCGAGAAACATGCTTCCTGACTCTAGGAGAAAAGAAGGCATGTCCAGCCATGTCATGCTGTGTTAGGTATAACATAGTCATTGTTGAAAGGAAAGGAAGAACCCCTGCTGATTAATCCAGGTGGTCTGCATAACTTCCTCACACCAGCAGCTGAAAAAACAGCCCAGGGCTACACTGTTCCCAATAAGTAATAAAAACGAATTAGCAGTTCACGCACGGAAATGGAGAAAGGATGAATTACACTGAAAATGTGATGTACCTGGACCTTTCACACTGTTACACAGATTCGTGGTTACATCATCAACAATGTTAGCCAAGAAAGAGAAATCTGCAACATTGTAAGCATGGATGTCATCTGGATCCGTTGCAATCTGCTTCAGTTCATTTTCATCTGCATTTTTAATACCTTACAGAGAAGACATGACAACAAAACTTGTTAGAAATGATGGCCATGAAACATAATGCCATGAACTTGAGTCCCTAAACACATTCTTTGAATACTCTTTTAGGTAGTTACGTATGCAGCCACTTCTCTGTGCATTTAGCAGATGGGCAGGAGGGGGTTGGTGCAGGCCACCTCTTCATATAATACTTACCAATTGCATAAAGTTCCACTCCCTCATCTCTGAGTCTTCTTGAAGGGGTGACTACATCATCTTGTGATTTGCCATCAGTGATGAGAACACCAATTTTGCGAGCTCTGGGTCTTAAGCCTGCATCTTGTTTGAAGTTGTTTTTTAAGATGAAATCCAAGGCCATTCCTAGCATGACAAAAAGGTAAACATCACTATAAATTATTTCCATACAGTAGTCACAGTAAAGGAGAGTATTTTATCCTAGCGATTTCACTTTGACAAGAATTTACTTCCTTCTAAAAGCACTCTGAATCTAGTTGCAGGCCATCATCTAGACTTACCAGCAACAGATACTATTTCAGCCCTCTCAAAGTCTCTAATCTTTCACCTTTTATGCATCACCCTCCTATCTGATCTCCTCTAGCATCCCTTCTGGGTCCTTACCTTGTCTTCATCCCAATCCCGACATGGAACTGCCTTTTCTTCTTCTCCTATGCTCAAGAGCAACCCAAGCTCTTTATCATCCAAGCTCTCCTCCATCACATTTCTCCAGACTTCCACTGAGTTTATATGGCTATGCTATGCCTGTTCTCTTCCAAACATACTGAACTAAACTGTGAGGCCCTTTCATCACAGGCAAATCTGAGCTCACTGAACAATACTGGGGTCAGCTACTACAATTATTTTTACTTGAGCTTAAGGAAAATCCTGGCAGGGTGACATACCTGTTAGAGTATTGCCTCCTTTGTACGGTAAGTTGGCTACAGCCTCTAACAAAGCCTGTTTGGTTCGGTAAGCATTGAGATTCCATTCTGTCCTGGGATCTCCACTATACTGTGCAAGACCTGGGAAAAAAGGCATTATTAGTCAGTTGTTATGTGGCTGTGTAGCAGTTATGCCTCATTTTCCCTCCAATGTATGAGGACTTACCAATCTGTACTTTGTCAGGACCAATATCAAAAACTTCAACAATACGGGTAATGAAGTTCCTGATAGTTTTAAAATTTGGCCGCCCAATACTCCACGAGCCGTCCACCAGCAGCACAATATCAGCTTCTGCTCTGGTTCTGCATTCTAAACCTGCCATGTCAACCAGAAAATTATAACCTTAGCATGATAGCTTTCAACCAGAAAAATATAGCCTTCACATTATAGCTTTCTTTCCCCATCCTTTTATATGACATATGTCATGAGTTAGCTTCCAAAATAGCTCTAGTTTTATTCACTGGCACTCTGTCAAGTATGACCTATTTGTGAACGTTATTCATACTAGTCACTGGTTCCATGGCAAAAGCTGTATAAATTTCTTCATGTATATTTTCTTTTATAAATAAACCTTCACAAATGTCAAGGCCAGTGCTCTTCTCTACTGTCATGTCATTATCTGTTTTGGTCTTTAAATATGGTTGATAACTTGATTTCAGAGGTTTTGTAACAGACTACTAAACTAACCACTGACATGGCAGTGAGCATTATCAGATCATCCAAATTTACAGTATTTTAGTCTGCCACAGATAGTTAAACTACTGTTTAATTTTCAGCTATGTAATAGTGTAATTAATAGCATATATTACAACCACTTTCAAATAAATAGCATTTCTGAATTTTTAGGGGCAAAAGACATAGTAATACAGGTGGTATAGAAGTTTGCACATACAGGAAAGAAAGAACACGACTTAGAGAAGACGCACAAACATAAACACAGGTCAAGAGGTAGAGAGGGGACAAGAACAAACATTTATATAAAGCTGCAATGTTCTGAAAAGGTAGGAAGTTATTTCAGATATCTTCAGTTTACAAATTACAGAATAAAATATGTATCAGACTGTTTTCATCACAAGGAGAATCACAAAATATTTATACAAAACAGAAAGACACGATTTTATCCACAGCCATATTTTAAAAAAAAAAAAAAAATAAAAATCCTTGCTCTCTCTCTTTTCCTGTAGATTGTGTTACCAGCTGCAAATTTTCTGGCTTCCTGCCATCAGAGCTTCTGGTCTTTATATGGAAGAAATCCCATTGAGAAAAATCAGCCACACTCATCACAGTTGAAAGATATTGTGATTTCATATATGTTCCACATAATTGATCCAACACTGTAGACTCATGAATATAACTATTCCATGTACCTGGGGGGTTAAAAGCATGATCCTCTGCTGCATAGAAAATATAGATCTAGTCTTTAGTCAGGACAATAAAATCAGTTGGGAGTAGGGTTTAAGTAAAACCATGTTAGTTCAAAAAATTGCATGCATAAATTTAATACGGAAGTTAAAGTTAGCTTCATGTACAATATAAAAGTTAAACTATTTTGACTTTTATTTTTCTTCCAACTATCATAGTTCCCCACATGGAAAATTCTAGTAAAGGCATCAGACCTAAGGTGATTTTTTTCCCCCTATTAATAATGTACTATTACATTTACAGTCCCAGATACAAAACTCATTTTTCATATTAACCATGATTCAAATTCATGCATTAGTAAAACTAATTAGCTAAAGAATATAGCACTGAGGACAGATACGACAGCTGCCATAATAAAAAATAACAAACCACTCTTGGTGCAATTATTTTTCTGCCAGACAGTACAGTTTTATTCTAATGGCACTGATGGCCTGTTATGGAGTTTTTCTCCATTTTATCCTCTTGTATCAGATAGAGTGGGACAGCAATTAAGAAGTTTCTAAAAATGTTGTCAATAAAGTTACACAAAGTGAATATTTTTCACACAGTCCAGTGTGGAAACAAGGCATCAAAGAGGCTAAGTGGAAAGAATATAGAGTCAACTGTCAGAAACAATTTTTCTTTATTTAACTCTGAAAGGCCTTTGCAGTTAGGTTCTTTCTCCTCAACAAACTATCTCTGATGGTTATGCAAGCCTTGAAATGGCAGAGGAGAAAAGTCTTTACTTCTACATGTATACTTGGCTATTAAGAATCAAAGACCTACTGCTTTATGATTTCCATGAAGGAGGACTGAGCCCTGAAACTCTCTTCATCCAATATTAATTGAGAGTATGGTGGGCACAACTATTAGCATGCAGAGGTCCATTAACCACACCAAGGGAGCTGCTACCACAACATTCATAGGAACTTTGGCTGGAAGGTTTAGCTATACCAGGAGAAATTCCCAAACAGGTACTGGAGAACACTCAGCAATTGCATTTCTGAGCTAAATCTTCTCTTTCTATAGTCAAAAAAAAAAATTACTAAATAATGGTTATGTTGAATACAAACTTAAATAATACACAATAACACTGGGACATTCCTAACCATCAGATCTTTGTTCATGATATCATCTTAGTCTTAAAAGGAAGAGTCACCATCTAAGGACAAGGAAAGGGCTGAAGATTTGCTTAAAATTCCTTGTTCTACTCCTGTGAACACCCCTGTAGATGAGCCATGATCTCTGTTCAAGAACTTGACCTTATGTGATTTAACACAGATGTGGATGGCTTGAAAATGCAATGCAGATGGCTTTCCATAATCAGCAAAACATGGGTTGCCTGAGTTATCATCTTTGTGAGATCATCTAAAGGGTGCAGAGGACTAGAATCATTAATTGGGGCATACTTAGTGGTCATTTCAGACCAGGGGTTAAGTCATCAGGGTAGGGACTATATTGAATCCTGTAAATAAGTATTTATATGCATTAGAAAAATTATAAGGAAATGCTGGTAAATTTTTGGTCTTTTTTTATCCAAAAGACAAGATTGACTTTTCTTCAATTCAATCATGTTTACCTCTAGACAAAAATGGCTCCGAAGTAGTATCTGAAAGGGTGGTCATCTCTTGTCCAACCAGGGGGCTGCTCTCTCCTCCTTCAAACATTCCAAAAACATTTACCTTATAGGTAGTTCCTGCCCTGCAACAGTTAAATAAATGTACTGTAACTAAAGTCACTTGGCTAGCTAAATGCTGAGACTTATGAAATTCTCACAGAAAAAAATCCCCCATGGAAAAGAAAAAAAAAAAAGACATGAATTATTATCCATACCTAAGCTCCTCCAATACCACTGTACTGTCGTATGGCCCCACTATTAATTCTCCAAGACTCCCGTCATCTTCAGTAGGGTGGAAAGTTACTTTATACCCTTTCACTCGCCCTGGGGCTGGCTCCCAGGTTACTCGGAAACTTGACATAGTTGAATCAGAAGTTCTCAGATTTCGAGGTGGCTTAAAGGGAGATGCTGCAAGGATGGGAAAAAAGGGGTTAAATCAGATCTGCTTATGCGAAAAAAAATCAACAAGTATGTTTTTATGTAAAAATCCATATGCAAATCCAGTATTAGTGGCAGTCCTAAACTCTTTCTGCCTTTATTTCGACATCAAGACGAGTATCAACAGGTGAAAGGTGAGATTCACTTCACTTAATTTCAGTTATCTAACCAATAGGTATGTGGGCTAAGTTTGTTATCAAGGCTCCCTCTACAGTCAACAGACTGAGGGATAGATAGCAATTCATCTCACCTATCTTAAACATCCATCTGATCTTACAATAAATGTGGACTAACCACCGTCAGTCCTTCTCTCTGTTATGGAGAAAGACTAGATGGCTAGCTTAGACTAGCCCTCTCTCTTTTAAATGGCAACAAGTAGGTGACCAATATAGACCAAAAGAGAGAAATGGAAGTAACTTCCTCTCAAATCAACCCTGGAAAAATCAGAATTTACTGCAGGCAAAAGTCACACCCAGCCAGCACTCAGTTACCGATATCACTTCTCAAGCTGTTTCCTCCTCATAACTCGGGGTCCCAGAGGTCAGAGTATGGAGAGGGTGGAAGCAAGGACCCTTTCATAGAAAATGTCCTGCCGACAGTCCTCTCCCTTTACAGGCTCAGGGCCTGGCAGCTCGAGCAACTTCACCAACCACAGGTGTGGCAGTATGTCAAAAAATAATTCTTTAGAGGAGTGCCAGCCAAACAGCTTGAGGCTTTTAGGTCAAGGGCAACTTCCTCTGAAGACGAAGAGCTACCCAGTGCAGGTCAGTACTCACAGAGTGGTTAACAAGCCTGCCGCTAGCTTCTGCATTGCTTTTGCTTTTGTGTAAATCTAAAGTGCAGTTGTAGAAAATACTGCAGCAGTGTAATCTCAAAGTTGCAAAAATGGGAATTAGAGTAAAGAGAAAGTGACCACTATAGCTTTGGAGTGAAAAGGCCAAGGGGAAAACAAAAAAAGAGTTTGTGTTATCCCTGTGCCTATGCAATTGTCTAACTATAGTTGAAAGCTCATAAATGTCCTCAGAATGTGGATTCTGCTGAGGAACAGTAGACACACTCCCACTCACATGGAAAAATACAGCCTCTCGGTCTCATCTTCCATGACCCTCCTCCCTGAATTATCATGACAGCTTCAACTAACAAGATCACACAGGCTCCAGTTGCTTCCAAAGAGCGATTACCACCACAACTATTTACAATGAAAGCAGAGAGGCATATCCGTATCAAGATGAACAGGTCAAAAATCAAAAGCAGATGGATGATCTGAGATTTATCTCAGTATAATTTTCAAGATTGGAAAACTAGGTGTTGGTCAAGAGCCAATCAAGTTTTTATGACTCCTCTACATCAACCACGTTTTAATTTAAAAAGAAATCTTCCTTCAGTAACTGAGGTTTCAATATCTCCACTGTTAGGAGACTTGTTTCTCACTTCCTGTCTTCATTCAATATGACACATGTTGAGAGAACAGAGAACGGCATGAAGTATTGTTGAAGTACGGTTGGACTTGATGATCTTTGAGGTCTCTTCCAACCATAATGATTCTATGATTCTATGATTCTATTTACATAAGCTCTCAGTGTCCTGGTTTGGCACTAGTCCCACATGGGCAGAAACATCTTGAAAAAAAATTCTCTTTTGGTAACCGCTCTCTATCTATGGAAGCAGAAAACTGACTCTAAATCTGGTTGATTTGATCTGGATATCAAGAGAACATTTCCTTACAAAACGAAAGACCATCATCAGATATATACTAAAGGCAGAGTAGAAAATGAGTTTTGCTTTCACCACAAAAATCCCCTCGCCAGGACTTAATAAATGTTTTAGAGTTTCAGTTTCTGAGAGAGAAGACAGCTTGTCCAAAAGACTGTGGTCTCTGAGGTCAGGCTTCCACTGATAACTCTTCAGAATAATTTACTCCCCCTTTTTATTACCTCGGGTTTGCCACAGAAAATATGATGACAAATCTAAGTAACAGGATGCTGGGTAGCTATTTAATAAATGCCCACCACCAAAAGGCAAATTATGAAACAACCGACAATACTTGATCAAGTAGTCTGTTGATACACTGTCTTCCTCACAAAACACCTTGCTTTGACTTCTGATGAGCGTTTCAAAACAAGTCCAGTATTTTCAACCAGATTCTACACCATACTTACACCTTCAATATCAACAGCAAAAAGCTGTGCTCAGGCTATGCCATAGTGAAGTTTCCAACAAATCAAACTCTTTTCTTAACCGGTAACATTTTCTTCAATTTGCCTGTTAATTCCTGATCTTGGCAGACTCCATCATACTTTTCTACGTATCATGACTATTAACTTTAAGCACAAAACTTTAATTATCACATCCTGCACAAGCTTGTGATACATACCTGTTGTTCCTTCTGCTTTTCTTGATTTTCCTTGTCCAAAATCATAAATTGGAACAACACTGAGGTCATATGTAGTTCGCGGCTTAAGTCGCTTTAAGACTATGCTTGTAGCAGGAGCATTTACTCTTCCAAACATCTGTCTTCCTCCACTGCGTGGTCGGTAGTACACACGATAAGACAAGACTTTTCCGGGTGAAGGCTGCCATGTAACTCTCATTGTATTTTCTGTCTCGTTGTCTACTGTCACAGTCCTGGCATCTGGTGACACTTTTCAGTGTAAAAATACGGATAAATGTTTACTTTGTCACATAAAGATATATTCAAATGCATATTTACAAAATTAATTCTGTTGTATTAAAAAAAAATTGCCCTCTTTAAAATTACAGTATTTGATTGCGGGGAAGACACAGGGGAATCTCACAAGCCATTGTTAAATTATTTTTTAATTGTAATGGAATAAACAAACATAAGTGTGCTTTCCACTACAGAGAAAAAAAAAAAAGAGAAGTATAAATTACACAATGATACAGCATAACTGGGAGTTTTATTTAGTCATACTTTTCAGTAATCTGTTAAATAATGGATTCCACACACTTAAATGAAAGTGATAAATTATATAGGCATTGGTTTTTTATGAACACAACGTCGCATAGAGTTAAGATTTTCTAAGTTTTGAGTATACAGATCTGATAAGGTACTGGTAAATACCTAAACTGCTGGGTGTTGGGCTCCATACAAACTTTCCTGCAAATAGCGGTGAATAATTTTCCAAGCATTTGGAAAGTCACTCATCACTATTTGCAGGATAGTGTATGTGCTGAATGAAATAAGCACATGGACTAATAAAGCATTTTCTCTACAAATTGCAGCATTAGGCTTCTAAGAGATATTTTCCAGACTATACAAATGTTACAAATGATCTGAAGTGAACTGAAAGGTATGTAATGCTGGCTGTCAGCCGGAATGAGCCATCTAGGTTTTGGCAAAACAGAACCTTCTTGGCATGCCAGAATCAGTCAGTATTTCATCACACACTAAGGTAGGCTTTGCAGGCTGCAGTATCCTCTCCCAGTCCTAGGAACTGAGAATTTCTAATTGTTTGTACCAGAAAGATGCAATGTTTGTTAGTCTCAGGTCTGGGTCTATTGATAGGCCTGACAGCAAGTTCCCTCAGGCAGCACATTGAGAGATGCAACAAAAGCTACCTGGAAAAGGCAGGCAGCTAATGCTGCTGTTCTTGAAGAAAGAGGGAAGATGCGGGACAGCAATCTGCTTTGACTCTGGGGAGCCAGCTCTTACCAATGGTAGCAATCACTACTCTTGTGAGACCTTAAGAGCAACTGTACTGGGTCAAGGACAAAGGTTAACACAGTTCAACAGCCTGTCTCCAACAGTACTCAAAACAGATGCTTAGGAAAGAGTGCAAGAACATGTAAACATACATGATGCTTCCCCAGAGCACTCCCTGAGCCTTCGTCGTCACATGGGCCCTTTAGGTAAACAACTGAAACATCAAGGCTGATCCAGAGCATCACTTCATTCACTCTGGCTCCTCTACTTGCCAGTTCTTGCTATAAAGCAAGAAGCTATCCCTGGCCTCTCCGTGGTTTTTACTTTGCCTACGCTGCAGGAGAGGCTTGAGCCTGCTTTGACTAAATCTACATAATGTTTAGCAAACAAGAAAAAAGAAGAGCCACAGCAGAGGTAAAAAATGGAACACCAAAACCACCCAGTGAGCCTCAGTTTGAGGACTGTGAAGACTGGGAGGGGCAGTATCTTGGAAAGGAAATTCATTGATTCTGTGGGAATTTACCCCATTTTTCCTCCTTTCTCTATCCATAGCATTTCTTCCACCTGATTTGCAACAGTCACACCGAACCTATGAAAGGCTGGCTTCAGAGTAATTTGCAGACAAAATCACACCCTAAATTGGAAGCAATCCTTGCTGAATCCAAAGCTACATGACATAGAATAGATTTTTCCTTTCTATTAATGGTCAAATAAAAGCCAGAATTGACTGATCCAAGGTGGCATTTTGGTTTGGAGGGACTTTTCATGGAAAAAAAAGGTGAAGAAAAATAAGGTAAATTTTCTTTAACATATGATAATCTCATCAAGAACAGAATTTTACAAACAGTGGTAATGTTGTACTACACTCACCATCAGTAAAAGCCTCTCCTTCTACTGGATCTCCTTCTCCACTGCTATAGGTTGCATATACTGAAATCCTGTATTTAGTCTCTGGCTCCAAGCCTTCTAGCACAGCATCCACTGTATTGCCAGGGACTCTCTTCTCTCCCATTGTATCATCATAAAGTGATTTCCATACTATCCTATAATCATTAACTGCTCCTGGAGCTGGTGTCCATGATAACCCAACTGTAGTGTCAGTTATGTCTGTGGTAACCAAATTACGCGGTGAACCACGTTCTGCAAGAAAGAAAACAGCAAACTGTAAAATACAAACAGCAAAATGGAAAAGTAAAATGATCATATGAGCAAAATCCCATAGTTTCAATAGCATACATTTGATGAATTTTTCAACACAATGCTTAAAGCTAACTTTAGACTATGAATGAACCTATCCCTTACCATGCAAGATACTTACCAATTTTGCTTTAGACTGTGCAAAATAAAAATGGCATTAACCAAAGACTTGGAATGAAGCCAGTGTTTAAATGTGCTGCAGCTCATTTAGGTAGGTCTTAACCCTCAAGTAAATAATTTTGTTTCATTCATTCACCTTCATCCTCACGTGTATAATTTTTTTCTGGGGTGTAAATAAAGGAAACTTTTGCCTGAGTCACAGTCCTTTCTCTCACAACCTTATCTTCTTACTTGAGTACTATTCTTTTCTTCCAGACTATCACTTGCCAGATCTATCAGCTATTTCATGTTTACAACTAATTTGCAGTGTGTTTACTTCATGCCACAGTTACAGTAGAAAACAGTCTCCGTCTTTCCACTCAGACGTGTACCTCTTTCCTCCCTGTAGTTTGTTCCAGCCAACTTGGAACAAAGGAAACAGTTCGTTAGTCTGTGAAATCCAGTTGTCGGATGCATGAGTCTCACCTAACACACCAGAGTAATTCCACTGCTTAAAAATGGAGGTCATTAGTCTAAAGTGGTGCAGCAAAAGGAGTGCTTCTGTTTAATGTTTAACATACATTTATAACATATGTTCAATTTTCCTGTTGCAGTGGTTGGCTTTTGATGGCAGGAAAGGAGCGCTGACTGGTGGGTTTAATGCAATGGCTTCACTGTAGCAAAATCTGCAAAAGAGATCTACAAAACCTCCAAGAAGCACTCAGTTCTTTGATGTGTATTCTCTGTGGCCTTTCTCAACGTACAGGGCATTCGACTGCTTAGCAAGAGAACTTAAACACTTCAGGCGGCCTCATGGCGTCATAGTGAAGTTTTACCTGCATTGATAAAAATATATCCCTGTAGTATACCACAGCAGCCACAGGACCAGATTCAAAATTATTTAAACACAGAGAAATTCAGGACCTATCCAATTTCCACTGCTTAGGCTCATTGCAAGGACAGACCTCACTGTTTTCAGAAGTCTGAAGCAGTTTCAGTCCAAGACTGAGCAACAAGTTGCTCAAAGTCATATACTGTGCTTTCGCCTTTCAGATATGTTTGTCTTTCACATCCACTGCAACATTTCCAAACATAATCCCACTGGAGCAAACAGGACTACCTGCAGAAAGCTTCAATTTGGAAATATCTCATTGCCGGCACAGCTTCATTAAAACTGAGCCAAAAATTCCCACTTGGCTTAATGATGAAAGGAAATTAATATCAACCTATCTGAAAACAATGCTTACAGTATAATAGAGATTCATTGGCTACACAGATTACAGAATCAGAGGTACCACTCCAGTCACAAAGCTGACTCTCAAACACAGCTAATAGAGCATGTAATAGAATTCCTTTGTGTTCTGGGCTTTTTCTGATTTTAATTCACAGTCTTGTGAGTCCCATCATGTTTTTCTGGAGACAATTCTTTTTCCATCCTAACTCTGCATCAGTTCTTACAATTTTACTCTTCAAACCAATTTCTAGCCTCATAATATAAATCACCATAATTTATGGCATCTTCTCTTCAAAAAAAGGTTAAGATCTAGAGATTTTGGTAAAGTTCATTTGTTTATCATTTCACAACAATAGCAGTTGCATATAGTGAAAAGGCCTGATTCAGCTCATGCTTCATGAATTCTCACTAAATTCACTGACTGTATTAAATGAAGGCCAGGGCAGAATCTAAACCAAAGACCAATTTTCCTGGAAGCCTGAAAAAAAGATTTGCCTTCAAAAGTAAATTACACCATTTTTTCTGTCTGCTCCTAAGCTTCTACTCCCAAATCTTGGCTTTTTCATACAATAAAAAAAATATTAAGGCAATCCAAATGGAAAAAATATGGAAAACCTAACTTGATAGAATGCACAGATGTCTCACAATAAAAACCTTTCTTTCCATATTTTAATGTAATATAAATATACAAGTCACTTTATTTTGGCTACTTTAAAACATGGCTCTGCCACAACATGATTTCAGTATTAAAGTATCTGCTACCACAGCACAATTTTTTGCAAGTCTACTCTTGGATGCCTCAGCTAATGATATATGTTGGAAACACAGCAAAAATAACTGCATATTTAAAACTGTTATTGATTAAGTCATTATTGAGGTCATTAAATAACAGAGGAAAATAATTCATTTGGAATGGACTGTAATGAACACCAGTTACTGTACTATGTTAGTTCTGAAAGAAATATTCTTTGGAACTAAATGTCTTTTTTATAAGGCAAGGTAAGAGAGGGAAAAGGGACTGGGATTCCTACCAAACCACTAGAACTAAATGGAAAATTTTTACTTCAAACAGTTGGAAACTGCTGACAAGACAACTTACCTACTAAGGGAAATTAGAATTTTTATATGTTACACTGCAACTGGGAACATTTCTTTAACATAACACATTAATTTGATTTGCACCTCATGTGTGAGGTGGAAGTTCACTGACAGCTTTTTTTCTGCTTCACTGGATCTCCCACAAGTGTTTTTGTGTTAGGGGAACAGCTGGGTTTAAGATGCAATCCAACTGTAAGTCTTAAATTATTAGGATTCCATCAAATACTATCTAAGCTGCTACACTCAGAGTCAAGAAACATATTTATGCTTTATAATAACACTGGTATAATGTAGTCACCAGTAAACATACAATTAGACCTATGAGATATTTTTCCCTTGGATTAAAACTAATTACCTAGTTACCTTGCTTACGTTTCGCAAGAAAAAAAAAATAATCTACAACTGTAACACCTAAGCAGTCATTCTGTTCTTTCGTTCACGTGTTCAGAAATGCTTGTTGTACACCTGCTTCTTGTCTGTTTGTTTAAACAGGATGGATAAGGAGCATGGGAAGACAATGGACACTGTAAGAAAGAAAAGTGCTGGCTGGCTGGCTTGCAAGTGGTTGTCAAAAGACTTCTGCTTTTTCCTGACTAGAAACGGAAGCTGAAGCATGGTCATCACATCACACCACCCCCAAGTCATCAGCAAGTCAGGAAGCAGTTGGTTTTTGAAAATTATGCCCTAACAGGCACTAGGTCCTACGATGGTTTGGAGCACCAAACCAGCTGGTGTAAGCACAGCTGTAAGCCATGGTGAGTACACACAGAGCAAAACAACGTGCTTGCACAGACAGGTCAAACCCCTGCCTGGGCGAGCAAGCCAGTCACCAGTTTCAGGCTATCAGATTCTCTTCAGCAGCCTTTAGCTCAGAGCTGGTCAGCCTACAGTCCCTTGTACATCTCTACCATCACTCAGTGCAGACACACAAAAATTAACTTGTTAACTTTCAGTTAGGTGCTTTTACACCCAGTTCTGGACTTCTGCAATGTCCAGTTTCCATACTAAGTTTTTCCACTATAGTATGCCAGAGGCACAATATAATATTAAAGCCGTTTCCCTGCATCCTCTTGGCTCACTTCCCATAGCTCTCCAGCAATCACTGCTGTTACTGAACACAAGACTGTGAATCAGCTAACATCAAAATGTTGACATTCACAAAAATCAAATGGCCTTATTCAAATGGCTTTTCCCCTCAGAAACATTTACACAACTCCAGCTGATTTCATCGGGAGTTGGACATGCAGTTTGGGTCCAAAGTTTAAACAATTTTCTGCATGTGCTCTTAAAGTCAGCTTTCAAAAATCAACCTGCAGCGGTAAATTCCACGCAGAGCGTGTTTCACTTAAGTTAAACACAGGATTGATCTAAGCCAGCATCCTAAAGCATCAGAATCAACTATTTAAATGAACCTTCTCTTGCAAAGGCATATACCAAAATTTTACAGCCTGAGTCCTGCCTTGTTTACAATGGGATGCGTCAGGAGTGTCCCATTAAGTCAGTGGGCTAGGTCATCGCAGCCAAGGATCCAAGCGCGCGCATCAGATGAGATGGTAGCAGAATCACTTTAAGGTTTTACTCCAATGGTCAAGCTCTCCTCAGCCTTGGAGGAGGCACTTACTTTGGTCGGCTGATATCCTTCCCTCAGAGCCACAAGGCAGCTGGTTACCCTAGGAGTACCAGCCCTCAGGCACATAAAGAAGGGATGTGGACATGGTGCAGGGAAGAATCAAGGACTTGCTACACAAATGGAATGCTCCCTTGACCCTGTTAGAGCCAGTTTCTTCCTCTTCTGCTTCTGGGAATGCAGAAAGGTGAGAAGATGCAAACCAGGAGGGTTCTGACCCAAAACAGAGGGACTTTGGCCAGAGCACTCCTGAGTCCCTGCTCTAGGATAAAGCCAACAGGAATTCATACTCAGTCCGTTCAATATTTTATCTGTCTTCTGTTGGAAAAGTTAATCAGTTAACACTACTCTCAACTGTCTAGAAATATCATTTTATTATTCACTCAACCTTCCCCTGTGTTAATTTTTTTTCTGATATATTCTGTTTCCAATATAAAACAAAGATAATTTTCCACTGATTATCAAAAGTCAATTTCAAATGTCAGACTCAAAAATCTTGGAATGTGTAATTTTAAAAATGCGTGAAACAGCATTAAATCTCCTGAGGACACTGAGTCCTTGTTTCTGTCAGGACGGAAGCAGCACGATGCAGTCTGAACATTACGTAAAGTCCCTGTGATATGCTAAAAAACTCATTGTAAGAAAATGTCACTTGAATTTGTACTATTCTGCCTGTAGGAGGTCATTCATTTCTAAAGCATTCTTATGTTACTATAGCAACAGCAAAAAGAAATCATTTATTTACCAAAGAACTACTATCCATTTTGTGACAAAAAAAAAAAGAGCTCCCCCTCCCAAAAAATCCCCAGGCCTAAGCTCTAAGAAATTTATACAACAGAAAACAACTTAAACCTGAAGAGTGACTCAGTCATGACAACTTTTTTT